CATGAGATAATAATAGTTTAAAAAAAAATGTTCTCATGGAACACCTTGAAATTTTGTAAAATAAATATTTACAAAAACATTTTTAGTTTTTGAAATAATGAATGTCATATGTTAAATGGATAACTCAGTATATATATAAACATTTTATATATTTAAAAATAAAAATCATACTACTACAATTAATCTAAAATTTAATAAAAATGAAAGTGCCTACCTCTTCTTATATTTAACTTATGTATCTATTTAATATTTAGGYGATCCAGTGAAAATATATGAGCTATATTTAATTATAAAATAGGTAGGTATTTTGAATGGAATGTTTAAATAAATTATACATATTATTATATTATATATTACCTACACATGATATGTATACAGCTCACTTTATTACAATATAATATTTATTATATAACCACATGTATACTACTCGGAAGAATATATGAACATATTTACTTACTGACGGTTAATGTTAAATGCTATTCAGTTATAGGTATGTATTAATGTTATTAGTTTAATAAAAACTTAATATTTATATTAGGTAGGTAGCTTTGTACATTAATCGAGGTACCTATTCATTTAATATAACATAAAAAAAAAAGATTACTAAGTAGGTATATCTTACTATTTGTCTGATTACAATAAATTTTATTTATACAAAATATTATGTATAATATAATTAAAAAATTGTGGATAATCACATAAAATGATAAAATTGCTTATCGAAGAAGAAGTTGAGTATATTAGCAGTAGGCAATTTTACAAATATAGATAGGTACACTAGCACAAAAGATACAAGACTCAAAATACCATTAAAGTACTGTACGGACTGATTGACTCACGGAACAACGTTCAACAATTAAACAGTACAATACCACAATATTTATACTAGTAAGTAGTAACTAGTGCGAAGACGTGAAATGCTAAATAGTTACACGCAAGTACAGAACAATAACATTCAACCGTTCAATGGCTCCGTGGAAAATGGGAATGCTGAATGAGAATGACCCGAATGGGACATAGGTATTGTAAATTGGTGGCATGGGGATATCGTAGTATCGTCTATGGCAAGGAGCGTTTAAATACAGGAATGCACCGCTCATGATGCGCATGCGTATACTCGATGTTAGTGATAACGTCATTACCGTCATTCCAAAGACATAGTAACAACTCGAAACCCAAGCAAGCATTTCACCTATGAGAAATATACAGTGAATAATTTGGACATTAATTAATTAATTAAAATATGTATATTTTGGCCACAATATTAAGTGCATAATGTTCATTGTAGAACATATAATAAGTTATTTTTGAATAAAAAATAGGTAATTATAACAGTTAGTAAAAATGAAAATGCTTTAAGATAATAGTTGAGGAATGTTTAATTGTCTAAAATAATCTAATGATTTTCGAAAACTAGAAATAATTTAATAACATGCAAAATTCAGTTTACAATGTATAAATTGCAGTATAATCAATAATGAACATCATAATATTAAAAATATACGTGATAATATTATGCCATGAAATCAACTTTTTACCGCCAAATTAATTTCTTTAGTAAATTTAAAATTATATAAGAACTAAGTTTGAATAAATTAACCTTATAATTCCCCTGTCTACGATTAACATTATGCACTTAAAATTGTGGCCAAAATATACATATTTTAATTTATTTATTTATGTCCAAATTATTCACTGTATATTTTTTATRAGTTAAATGTTTGTTTGGGTTTCGAGTTGTTACAATGTCTTTGGAATGACGATAATGACGTTATCACTAACCACGATTATAAAGAATAATTATAATAATTATAATAATAATTATTATTTATAATCGTGTCATTAACATAACGTATCGCGCACGCAACAATTAGTGACTGATAAGAGTTAAGAGTCTGTGATGTTATACTTATTATTAATTTACATATTTACCTTTTTTTTCCAATTCGTGCATCATTTTACAGTTATAAAATTTCATAAATTTATAGTCAATTTAACTCGAGTTCAATGATATAATATCAATGGTACCTATAGTCTGTACCAAATAAGAGCACACCGCGATGGCGCATCCARATGAATCGCAGAGCGACGTCCGGACCCCCCTGGCCGGATCTATTTGCTCTGTGATTGGTGGCGGTGATCGGCGTCGTCAACGAAGTTGCCGCCGTCGGCGACGCCGCCGTGCATACAGGGAGTTGTAGTAACAATGCGYTACCGCGTATTACAATACCATATTACATTGCGCTACCGCGTATATTAATAATAGACCATATTTTTTTTTGTTTTTTTTATTAATTTTTTTTTAAACATATTATTGAACACGCAAGCTTGAAAAAAAAATTATTAAATGTATATAAATATGATAATAATGTGTATATAATATATATGTCAATTGTGTAAAAAAACAATAAAAAATATGACTAAGTCAGTTGTCAGTTGTGTAGTCAATGTATCATAAAGTCTAATATAACCATAATCAAACGTAAACAGCGAATACGATCAAAAACAAAAAGACGTGTTACCGCTTAGTACCGTTAAAATGGTGTGACATTATACAACACTCTGTATAAACAGTTGACCCTGGCGGCGCTGGAACGCGCGGCGGTAGCGTTCTCTGTCATGCGCGAAATTCGACCGGTTTTCGTGCGCCGCCCGGTGCGCTCTTATTTGGTACAGACTATATCCGAAAAAAGATTTTGAGCGGATGTGGTTTTGCTTTTGACCACCCAAAAGTACCAATTACATTCACTTTCGGACTTCCCTATCAGAAAAGATGCTGAAGAAAATCTAAGCATTTTTACTGTATTAAAAATAAAAAAAAACCAATACATTCATCGCTCAACCAAGAATCTTAAATCCATTAATTACTCTTAATATATGAAATGATAATTACTTTGAAATATGAATAGAAATCTGACTTAAACAAATATTATCGTAGTGAAAAAACTTAAAAAWATACCTGTAATATTATTAAATTGTAAAATGTCCTTATTGATCGACATGCCATTCTCAGAATTGATGATCAATAAATAGAGTTTTCTTTTTAAAATTAAGATTAATGCAACTATTACATTTTGAAAAATATGATTTTTCAAGAATAATATTTTCTACTATTTGTGGACTTTTTTTTATGTCTAGTGAGTATTTCGTAGTGAAGGTTTTATTACAAATATCACAAGGAAAATCCATTTGAAAAAAGAAATAGTATTTCGAGAATTAAAAAGAAGTTATACACTAATTAATATTATATTAGTAATATAGATCAGATTTTAGCGTATCATATTATCAGTGAATATTCAGAAATTTCCTACCTATTAAGTTTTTATAATCTTGCTTCAATCAATATGTTGGAAATAGAGTATGTCTAAATACTCTAAATTACTGTCATAATCGTGTTAGGTGAAATGTGTTATCAGTCACCTTAAATAAAATAGCATCAAAAAGATAGCTCAAAACCTGTTCGGGTAAAAATTGGTAAGTTTTGAATAACATACCATAATAGTGTATTTATTCAAAATTTTAGTTTTCCGTGACTAGTATGACTGATAATYGTTAATCAACATGTTATAAGATAATATCTACTTTATGCGGACCAGTGGCGAAACGAACCTAAAATAACCGATAAGCAAACTTACAATTTACACACCCACCCACCCACTTACCGGCTATAGGTACCTATTATATATTTAAAATATTTTTATGTTCAATTAATATATATATATTAATATATATTTTTACCAATAAATTTAGGTAGGTTACTTATAGAATAAATAGTATATTATACTGTATAATAGTAGGTTCATATTATAATTAGGTAGGTATTGTAATATTATTTTTTTTTGTTTTTGAAGAAACTAAAGAAAATAAAACATAATAATAAAATGTAGGTACCTATCATTATAAAATAATTGCATTCTAGGAGATGAGAGACAGTTCCTTTATTCTTATAATGTTATACTTATTAACATATTTTACAGCAATCTAGATTATGTATATAATAATATGTATTTAATAACTTAMAACAAATTTAAAAATATGAAATTAATTATTTAAATATCAACTGTTTTTTTAAAACATCTGAAGTCATGGCAAACGTATCTATGGCTTCATTGAAATTGATTTCAATATCCTTTTCCATGCTCAAAATCAATAAGCTTTCAAGTCGGTCTTGTCCAGTTGTGGAACGTAGGCGAGTTTTAATTAATTTTACCTAAAACAAAATTTTTTAGTTCTAAAAATGTATTTGTTAATTGTTGTTAACTTATACTAGTACAAAATTCATGTCTACATAAATTTACACATATTGTATGTACAATACAGAATTTATGTAATTATAATATAATATAATATATTAATATTAGGTATATTATAATTATATTTATATAATTTATATTTATAAACTAATAAATTAGTATTACCTTTGAAAAGCTACGTTCAGCTGAAGCAGAAGAAGCAGGTATTGTACCAAGTGACTTATAAGCTTTGTACAAATTGGGAAACGCTGATATCAAGTTGTAACTTGACAAAATATGAAGAATTCTTTCTACACTAACTTTTTTTCAACTACTTGTCTGTCATCTTCATAACTAGTGATACTAGAATCACTATCTTCAGAACTTTGTATACACTTAACATTCTCATGTAATTGTTTTGGTTCAAGTCCTACTACCAATTCATGTAAGCTACTACTGAAAGTTAAATACTCTACTCTTAAATCTTGTAAATTTATACCATGTATCCATTTTGCTAATTGGTCAAAAGCATCTTCAGGCAATTTTTTACTACTCTTTTTACTATAAGACAGAAGTCGTTCAGGTGAAAGTAGACACAGGTCTTTCATTATCTCTCTAGAGTCTTTAAACCGAAATTCAATAGAATTTATAATTACATCCAACACTTTAAAATACACATCACTTCTAAATACATCTTGAGCAGTAGAAGAAATTTCATCTCTAGACAATTCTCCAGGCATAATTTTTTTTTTACGCAACCTTACTTCTTTAAAGTTCTTTAAAGTTCTTTTCTGTTAAGTTTTGGTCTTTTGCGAAACTTTTTGCTTCATTTATCAGATTTTGACATTTATCATCATCTCTAAGATCAATTAAACGGTTCTTAGCAACATCAACAAGATTAATTGCTTCTATAAAATCAATTGATTTAGATTGAAGGTAATTAGAAACTGGAGTAGTAATTGCAAATATAGTTTTAACTAAATTCATGGCTATAATAAATTCAAAAGAAGATATTCTCATTGATAAACTTTTGGCTGTTGAACTTGTWTCGCGATCAGAATCTTCCGCAGAAGCAATTGCTATCAATGATTGTAATAATGCAGCATATTTTTCATATACTACTGTAATTACTCGGTCATGTGAAGTCCACCTTGTGGTAGAAAAACGTTTTAAGCGTCGCACTCGTTCATTTGGATATAATTTATTTTGAAAATATACAAAAGTGGCAGTTCTTTTTCGTGCACGCATAAACTCAACTATTGCTTTAATATCACCAAAAAAAACCTTTGTTTTGGTACAACAGTCACATGTATCAACTATTACCAAGTTTAAAAGATGTGCAGAACACCACACATATAAAGCATTAGGGTTTTCATTTTGTATTAAAGATTTTAATCCYGAATATTGRCCTTGCATTGAAGCTGCTCCATCGTAAGCTTGTGCACACAAATCTSTTTTCCAATTAATATTATATTTTTCTGTTATATTACAAAATACTTCATACATTCCTTTTCCAGTTGAATCTGGTGAAGTTACCAATGCTACTAATCTTTCTTCAATTTTACCTTTATCATTTACATATCTAAGTAAAAAGGTAAATTGCTCTAATGTAGACACGTCTGTAGTAGTGTCTATGATGACTGAAAAGAGACCTGATTTTTTAACATCAAATAAAATCTTAGAACGCACAATTTCTGATAATATGCTCAACAGTTTGTTTTGACTTAAACTTGATAAAAATGTAACTCGGTTGTGTTTACCTTCTATTTTTTCATTTTTTAAATGAGAATTTAAGGGCCCATGATGTTTTGATAATAACTTCAAAAGTTCTAAAAAGTTCCCTTTGTTCATTGAGGTATTACTTTCATCGTGCCTTCTTAATGCAATATTCTGTCTGGCAGTAAATAGTAGAGCATCAATGATAACCTTTAAGATTTCTCGGTTTTCAGCTACTTGGTGGTTTGCTGATTTTAAAAGTGTAATATCAATTCTTGTTCTGGTGAAATACAAGCCCCGGCTAATCTCACTTTGAATATGTTCGGGTAAACACTCGTGATGGTGAATTGTTTTAGCAATGTTTCTATAATTACAGGTAGGTACCTTTAGAAGATAAAAATGATTGTTTTGCCTTAACTAAACCAAATAATCTACAAGTCATGCAAAATACTCTATCAAGTGAAGGCGAGTATGATAGCCAGGTGCGTTTTGTTAAGTTGCCATCTGGTAAACGTTGAAAATAATGACTTTCATGGAATGACCGAATATTTCCTGATCCATAGTTTTTTGTAGGGAATTTGTTGTATTTTAGATCAGAAGGCAATGGCTGACAAGGTCCGAGATTCACAAAGTATGTTAATATTTCATTTGACATGGTTTCTGGCCAATGAACAGGATCATTTGACATTTGGGAACACATTATCAATAACTTGGTTTTCTAAAAAGAAATTATGATTTATCACTGTCAGTCTAATTTACTATTTTATTGTTATTATTGTAATGTTATAAAATGTTAATTCTTGTCAGTTGGAATAAAATAAATAATTACTATTTTATAGCCCCATGTTCCCCCACAAGGCCACAATTATGTAGTTAAAATAAATTAATCATAAAAATTAGTTWAAAAGTTTTTACTTAACTAAAATTAGAAACTTATATTAACTATAATTAGGTACTTAAATTACTTATTTACCTGAACTTGAATTAAAAACTTCATGCAATAATGGAATTTCAGAATCCAAGTCAGTTGTACCATAAATTAAATCATTATTGCCTTTCTCTTTCATTATAACTATTAAATAAAAAAAGTAATACAATAGGTATCTATATAAATAATAATAATTAATTAAAATTATTTTAATAAGTTTATTCACCAGATTCTGCAGTATGASAACTWAATATACCAACATKACTAACAGACGATGCAACTATTTTTTTTGWATGACTAGCATTTGTTGATATATTATTATTATCATGCTGAWYCTGAACTTCATGGCTAAAGTTTAGATTTGTTCCTCYTTTCAAAAATAAATAATGTTATAATTTTAACAAAAATGTCTTTAAATAAGTAATAACAACTTGATACTTAGTAGGTACTTACTATCTGATATTTTAGTAAAATCGCCACATATTTTTTTTGCTTGGGGTTGACAAAAAAAACGATTTAATATTTAAATTTTTTCGCTTAGCTTTACGGATAGGGCAAGCATTTATATGGCGAATCCAGTTAACATCGTTCATCGAACAACGCTGTTTATTACAATAACATATTTTTTCATCAGACAAAATATTTTATAAGTTAATATCACAAAAAATTATAAATATCGTGTATATAGTAAGCGACAAGCGTATGACAGTGATGACACTATTGCTATGGCGTATAATAATATATCCGTAGTAGTATGCGCCCGGTATGCCATCATATGGTATAGTTACTATTTATAGTTGTAAATTRTAATATTATTATTTGCTTATAATTCTTATCAAAAGTCTGTCTACTCGGTATATGGTATCCACAGATTATATAATTCTAATCTATTGTATGTCCATAGTTTAATATTGGGAAATACTGATCAGAGGTCATTAACGTAATACGTATTGGCTACGGAGCCATATATTTATAGAACTTGTTTTTGATAATATTATTACTCCCGGCTCCGAGTTGGTTATTTATACCTGATAACCTGAATGTTATTACCTTATTAAACATATAATACGATAATACGAATAACGAATTGATCCATTAGTGCTTTTACCCAATAGTACCTTTACCTGAATGGCTGAATATATCTATAAATTGTAATAAATACTAATACTAATACTTAGTTATGGTTATGCACTTTCATATTTTCACCCACGACCCACGGCACCCACCTACCCCAAAACCTTGAAAAAATCGAGAAGCAATCGCTTCTCAAAGACCACAGTCGTTTCGCCACTGATGCGGACAATACCATATTGATATTGCGAATGCGCAGCACAAGCAGTCGTGCATTCCTATATTTAAACGCGTCTCTATGACAGGTTCACAATGATAAGAAGTGTTAACTGTTGAGTCGACGCGGCACACGATAAAGGTTATTCTGGGAAAATCCTAAATCGAAGTAAAACCATCATCGTTCGTTATCTTAATTCTATTTTTATTCAATGACAAAGCGCAGTCCTACAGTTGTATTTCAATGTATAGCCCGTTGGGGTTGGGTCCCCGGATCATATAATATAGGGGTAAAACACGATTGTGTACATTCGTTATCGGCGATACCTTTTTAAGCAACACGATTCCGTACGATTTTACCTGTTTTTTAACTACACGATTGCCTATGAAGTTTTAAGCGTTATTGTCAATTTTCATACCGGTATAAATGGTCCTCACAAGGGGGGTCTGATGGACCTCGAGTACAGGGGCCCGAATACTTTGAGGGCCCGTGGGCCCGTTGAAATTTATTTGTAATTTTTGAAATTTTAGTAGAAATGCTTATTTTATTTTAATTAATATTGTAAAATAATATTTTATGAAATATATATATTATATAGTCATTTAATATTTAACCATTGATTAAGYTGAGCTCAAAGCCCGCAAAATAAAATTTTAACTTAAAAAAAGAATATTAAATAATAGGTACTTGTTTTTTTCTTTTTAATTTAGATAATATTRTTATAAAAAAAATAGAAAAGACAATCGTATCCCCTATTTCTAACTTCATTAGATAATGTTATACGCCAGCTAGTTACAAAATATGAGAGACGATAATTGTTGTATGCTTTTATTTATTATTATTTATTTTATATACGGTGAAATTGGTAAATTTGACAACGTTGCATATAATTTCATACGCAATCGTGTTTATTTTTTTTCCCCCAAAAGGTACTTTTAACCCATCTACAAACATACGCAATCGTGTTGCCAAAAAGGACAAATGTACGCAATCGTGTTCTACCCTAATATAGGTACCTATATAATAATAGGTAGGTACTAGGTAGGTACTTTTCAAAGCGAGGAAGGGGCTAATTGCTCCTTAACATTGTATACTCTCCCCTCCCCTTCCTCGAAAAAAAACATAATAAAACATAAGATTTTACTTCATCTTGGGGTTAAGAACAATTTATCATTTCTACATATAAAATATTCAAACATTATAATAAGACAAAATATTTCAAAAGAATTGTCAATATATAATATAAGTGGTCCTCTGTATATATACATGGTTCATAGAATTTCATAAAATTTTGTTTCAATTCTCAAGTAAAATATTTTGAAATAAAAAAATTCATTATCAGTGTTTGGAAATAACGTCATTTAAATATTTAATGAATTTGAACGATTTCTAAGACATTCAAATTTAATTACTATACCTATTTAATAAATAGGTACTAATATAGTACCGTACTATAAATAATATAATATTTAATATTACATTACAATTTTTCTATTGTTATATGTATTCCCACATTATATATTTATTTTATTATGAATTATAAAAATAAAATTCGTAAAATTCCAGTAGGCACGGATTAACATAATATATTATATTATTATAAAATAAAATCAGCATTCATTTTTTGAAATAACGTGAACGTGTTCATTTACAAAATATTTAAAAGTAAACGTAAACGAATTCAATTTTTAGTGGACGTTCTGAGCACTAGCTACAATAATAGGTAGTAGGTAATAGGTACCTACCATTATGTTTATTATTTTATTATATATTTCAATAAGGCACCTATCATCGTATTATCGCAGTATAATATAATAGTACTTAGGTATAGGTATCATCAATTTGTCATCAATTTTACTTTCAACAAATTTCATATTCAATATAATGATTATATATATATATATAATTTAGTAAAATGAAAATATTATATATTATGTATAATATTAGTTTATAAAGATATTTAAAATGCTATATAAATAATAAGATTTAAATAACATAATATTAATTTGTTCAGAATATTATTGTATTATTTAATAGTTTACACATTCAAAATATTCTTAAAACAATACATTTCTTATGATAATATATTAATATTACAGAAATGTTATGTTATCATTAAATTTTTAATAACATAATAATAATAAATTCATACTACTATTATTGAATTATTTCATAGGTATATATTGTCATATAATTAATATATCCAAACTATTACCTATCTCATAAAACTACTATTTGATGTTGTATTATTTTTCTCATAATATAACATTAATATTGAATATAATATATTATTAATAAAATATTAACATTAGGAAAATGCTGTCTGGGTGATTTCTCCTTCTTTAGTTTTTCCTTATTAATAATATCATCAACATAAGCAATTTCATTGGAGGTATTGATTATTGTTTGAATATTTCCAAATGCCTTAACTGTTCTTTCTGATAAATTCTCATTGTTATCAATAATCTTGAAATGTCTGACTGCCACAAACACATTATTCTACCATTGATATTATGTTCTCCTTCAGCTGTACACTTAGAGCAGGTTGCCCTTTAACTAGATAGTTGTGAAAACGATTCACTACTATTCCAATCACAACACATATATTCAATATATTGAGAATTGACATTATGGCTATTATCGTCTGCATTAGTGTCCAGCATAGCAGACAAATTAATCGAAGTAAAATCAGATGGTAATACTCATATAGGGATTTAAGGACTAACATTAAACTTCTGTTCTTAGGTTCAAAGAAAGAATTAAAAATAGATTTGACTGACATGTTTAAATTTCTGATTTTTAACTAAACGGTTAAAATGTCTTTTGAAAAATGAACTTTTCTTCATAGCTTCAAGTTTTAGTAAATGACAGAATAGTAACCTAGATGGTTATGTAAATATCCTTGATTCCTGAATAATTAA